CACAGCTTTTCTTCTCACAGGTGGAAAAGGAGGGGACTATGCTCCAGCTTCAGGTAAGAGTGGGGGGCAGGATTGGCCCTGAGGCCCTTGGGGTAAAGTTATAGTTTGGGAGATCTCTGGTAATCTTGTAACCCACAATAGCCCTTCCATTAAAATTTTCTGTGGTTCCTGTTTTTGCTTTCCTATGAAAGCAAATGTATATAAAGCATATGTGTGCATATATTTATCCTAGACAGGGACAGCGCCCAGAGCTCTGATGTGTCCTTCCAAGACTGTAATGGTAACACTCTGAGAGCTGATATGGGGAGGGGCAGAGCGGACATGATTGGGTTTCAGGCCTCCCAGAATCACGTTTTAGCGAGTGGCGGGTTGTTGGGATGTTGTCTTCACAATAATTGTTCATGACTCTTGTTCTGTAGCATGAAGACAGCTGCATGGCCTGACAGAATGACAGATGTGTTCAGGTCTCTCCTGTGATGTTCAGTTCTCATTCAGCAACATTGTCTGAATTTCCATGGTATCCAATAGAATTATTGTGAGGAAAGATGGAACCCAGCCCACCCCTGCACACTAGGAGATTGTCTCTGTCCCATCTGGGTTTCCTTCAACCTCCCTGGTCAAGCGCAGGCAAAGGGACATCTCCCTCCTGCCTCCTCCTGCTGCCCTGAGCTGCAGGCCCTGACTTCCCCCATGGAAATAAGGATCCGAATATGAACTTGATTGTTCTCATCCTTGATCTGACAGGTGGATTGGTGGGTAAACTGAGGGATTGTGATACTTCGAGTTCATGGAGGAAATAAATGGCAGCCTGGAGACCCTCCCAGATTCTGTGTTCATTATCCTGTGGGTATCCAATGAGACATGGTAAGGCTGTGGGAGCTGAGTGAGGACAGGACTGTGACCAGCTAGAACTCAGTCCCCAGTTGGCTGTGACGTGGTCACTCCTCAGCTCTGTCCCTTCCTGGCGCTGATTTCTTGGTTCCTTACAACCACATGCTGAGGTCTGTGACCACAGGTGATGGGGGAAGCTCTATTAACCAATCACCTTTAAGAAGTGGAGTCTAGTTAAGGCGTGGCTACTTGGAGCCCAGGAAGAAAACTGGGACGGACCAGGTGCGTGCTCTCTCTGGGTGATTCCCACCAGACACAGCAGAACTCAGACTTCCTATTCTTGTGGCATGAGTTTCCCCTTATAACAATTAAAAATATAATTGTTTATCTTTAAGCTGGCCTGGTTATTTCCAAAACTGAGCATACAGCTTCAAGCTATTCTGTGCTGGAAATTTGTCCAGGAGCATAAGTATTTCCAGAGTCTTCTACACAGCTGTCCCCGCTCACAGGTTTGGGGGGTG